TAGTACTACTACTACTACTACTACTACTATCACTACTACTACTACTACTGCTGCTGCTGCTGCTGCTACTACTACTACTACTACTATTACTACTACTACTACTACTACTACTGCTACTACTGCCACTGCTACTACTACTACTACTACTACTACTACTGCTACTACTGCTACTACTGCTACTGCTCCTGCTGCCACGACGACAACAACTACTACTACTACTGCTGCTGCTGCTGCTGCTACTACTACTACTACTACTAGTTTTGCTGCTACTACTACTACTACTACTACTGCTACTACTGCTACTACTGCTACTACTACTACTACTACCACTACTACTGCTGCTACTACTACTACTACTACTACTGCTACTCCTTCTTCTTCCCGACGCAGCAAAGACGAGTCTCTGCTAAGCGAACGACGGGCAGGTCGTTACCCCGGTGCCTTTGGCGCGATCCCACCATTGAGGATCCCGAGCGGCTCTCGTCCTCTGGCCTGCAGGCCCCTTTAGCAAGGACTGCGGAGCAAAACGAAAGCAGTCAAATGTGACACAGTCAACCCTCGCTAGTACAATTAAGCCCAGCTTGGATGATCACCACAACAGCTTGACTGGACTGCTTTGAAAGCAGCAACTCGTGTTGAATTATGGCATGGCAGGCATCTCTGGACAGTACTTATACAGGAATGCATAACAATTGCTCTGGACATTCGCTGAGAGTCATTCGTAGTGAAACTGCCATGTGAGGGATCATACAGGACTGCCCTGTAGTGCCCTGCCAGCAGCTCACCTCCCTCGTGCAGGAGGGTGGCAACCCGACAGTGCCGTCTGTACTGCAACTCCAGCGGCTCTGTGTGATTCAGATGGTGCTTGAATGCCGGTAGCATGATGTAGGGTTCAGGCTCGACCTTAAGGAAAACCTTAGACCCAGAGCTAGCGGCGGAACCTACCTGAAAGCGGCAAATCTGAATCAAGATCGCTGGGGGCTCAGAGGTCAGCGCTTGCAGGCCGACAAGAGCCGTGCTCCAAAGGTCAAGGTGGGATTGCAAGGAGAGCGGTTCATGTTGCTGGGCAGCCAGCGACTGCAAAGAGGCTGGGATCAGCAGTGGCCAGGTGTTGCCTTCATCCCCACTCATGACACCTTCAGGTCTGGATTGTCTAGCTTCCCATGCCAAATTGCGGATTCGAGGACTGAGCAAGGGGCGTAGGAAAGTGAGGTACTCAATAACATGATGCTGCCTGGAGGGTTCACGCCAGGCAGAGTGCAGGGTGAGCCATCGGATGTTCTGCCACAGTGCAATGACACCTTTCTGAGCTCGGAGCCATCTCAAAACCAGCGTTAGGGAAGGCTCAAGCAGGGGCCCATCATCCCGAGAGCAATGACAGCAACATTGCTGTAACAGTAATTGCCAGGATTGGCAATGCGTAAGCGCCGTACATCTCGTCGATGATCTTCTGCACTGCCACTCCCAAGGCCGATCGCCCCATACGATCGCTCCGCAGGGAGACCACTGTCACCTGACAGGCAGCGCTGTGGCTCAAGCGCTGCAGGGCATTCCACAGCTGATGGCACTCCGCTGTACGGGAGCCGATCAGCGGCACCACTTCCGACTTCATTTCCTGGAAACGTATGACCGCCATGGGCTGGATGACGAGGGTCTGCATGGCTTTGAGGAGTTCGAGGACTTGGGTGAGAGTCTTGGGATCCCGGTCCCTCTTGACCTGCAGGGAACGTGTGTTCCGGTTCCATTCCAGGTGTGGAACATTGCACTGATCGTCGAGAATCAGCATGTCCTTGGCCTGCTTGATGGTGTCCTCGCTCGTCATGATCATCTCCATGCGCTTGAGCATGAGGTCCACCCAGTGCTTCAGCAGCCACTGCCCGGAGAGACAGTGTCAACAGTGCCTCCTTCTTCATGGTCGTCTTATGATCCTCGAGCCACTCGAGCACCGTATGGTGAAAGACATAAGCCTCAGCATGCTGTGCTTTGACATACCTCGACAGGTAACCTGGATGTGCAAGCCACTGCCCGCACCACAAGCAGTGGTTATATTCAGTGCCCTGGATTTGCAGTGGCGAGCTAGGGCAGCTTCACACAAAGTCACGGAAAGATAGGGGTATCGGTTTATAACTGCGGCTCCGGCAAGCTGCTGGTCGGGGCATCCCTCAAAAGTGAACCCCTGCCCTCAGAACGAGAGTGAGTGTCAGCCACAGCGGATAAGATATGCGCTTGCTCTGTGGCTTGGGGATCAGGACTAGGGGGCAGAATTGGGGGAAACGTGTGTCGGGTTCATAGGGACAGTCGTGGTGATAGGAAGATTGGGGCCGGTGTCAGGTAAGAAGGCCTCTGGATTGCTAGGCAAATCTGTGTCCCTAGTCGGACGGGTGCTTGGTGACTACCGGCAAACGAACAAGGCCACTAGCAGTACGACAGTGTAGGATTTTGCCTTTATGCGGGTCCTTGAAGACATGCTTTTGTAGGACCGACTCGGCTTTGAAACCCCGTATCCCAATGAGGACCGCTGACTTACCTGGGCTGATAGTCATGCCAAAAGCTTCCAGGATATCGAGCACAAAAGTGATGTTCTGAAACGCCCGTTCAAGCTGATCCACGGTGTCGACGAGCCAATGAAATAGAACATCGTCCGCAAACACAGTAGAATCAGGCACATCAATGCGTTGCCGAAAATGTGTGAGTATCAATCCTGTATACAACACCCATAAGAAGGGGGCTAAGCAACATCCTTGGCGTGTGCCGCTATCCTTTTCTAGCGAGGCTATCTGGTTCCTGTGTGTAATCCTGAGGCATGCGTGGGCATGCAGCTGCAAGATGACATGCTTGGCCGCGAGGTCAACCTGTGCCAGGTCCATGGCTTCTTTCAGCCTGGATCGCGGCATCACATCGAACGCCTGTCGAAGGTCGATGGACAAAAGAACACCGCCCCTGCAATCGGCCGGGCAGTGGCCCTGCCTGCGAAGGTGAATGTTCTGTCGTTGTGCACGGAGCACTGCTCAGACACGAGCGCAATGGGCGTCTAGCGCATCTTGCACTGAGCACTCCTCCAAATAGGCCCTTTGTGGCAGATCGTGCACCAGCTGCCATAGTTGGGGCTTGATGTGGTTATTGAGGATGATTGACAAGTCTTTCGAAATCGGGTGAATCAGGGATATGGGGCGAAGGGCTTCAGGTCCCGTTAGCGGTTTAGACGGCTTGGGGATCAAGCACAGATCCGCCACGTGCCAGTCCTCCGGTGGAGGAACGCTCATGTCCGCCAGCCGGCCGTTAAGCTTCGGAAGATATCTATCGGTGAGAATGTCTGCTGCTATACACCATAAACGGGATGGTGCCACGCTAGGTGGTAAGGCTTTGTTGCGGGGTAGGCTTGAAAGGGCAGCATGGAGCTGCGCCCAAGTAACCTGGAAGAGCGGGCCCCCTGCCTTGGACGTCATAGGGGGATGCTTGTGATAAAGGTCTTGATAGAAGATTCTGATGGTGGTGACTGTGGAGGTCACATCTAGAGGCATACCATTCGGGGCGCGGAGCTGCAGCTTGCGCCGGGGTTGTTTCGGTGCAAACAAGCTTAGGACCCTAAAGATGCCTATGTAACCCGAGCACTCAACAGCTTCCTGCAGACATTGCGAATTTTCCTGGCGACGAAGAGGCTGGCAGTGCCGCCTGAGCTCCCGCTGATGCCTTTGTAGAGCACGAAGTTCCTTCCAACGCTTCACAAAATCTCGAAGAGTAATGCACGGTTGACGTCTACCTTGCTTGACGATTTCCCTCAAATGCCACAGTTCCGTTACTGATTGGCAGCGGTGCTCAGGTGTGGCAGGTCGTCGCAGGTCTGGCAAGTGACGGGTGGCCCGAGCCCACGCAGCACAAAACAAAGAGTCGGAGTGCGCGTGCGGTTGAGCCAGCAGCTCTTGCTGAAGCTCTGCACGGAAGGCCGTCTCTACTTCAGGATGCAATTCACAAACCTGCTGCACCTTGTGCCTTTGTAGCCGGGGCTGTGCGCGGGATTGGGTCGGTCTAGCGGGGATGGGGCGCTCCCTGGCCGGGGCAAGTGTCTCATACCCGTTGCAGGGACAAAGGAGAGGGTCTTAGGGGCAACCTTACGGGATTCAGGGTCAGCCTGGCTGCGGCGCACAACCGCGAAGTCGATCTGGCTGCAGCCCGATGGGCCAGCCGGCAAAAACGTACATGAGCGTCTGCCCTGTGGACCCGATGTGTTAAGAGCAACTAGGTCATGGGTACGCAATATGTCTTGCATGGCAGAGGAGTCGCGAACTGTGCTTAAAGATACCTCTCCTAACCAAAGAGCCTTGGGGTTCCAGGTCCATATTCCGGTCGCCTAGAAGCAAAAGTTGATTGCGGACAGGCAGGGCAGCTATGAGCGTAGACAGTCGGGTCCACAGTTCGGCTCGCTTGGAGAGCACCGTGTCCCGGTGTTTCGCTCTGTCCTTGCACTGCTTGGGGAGGGACCAGGCATACTGGTAACATACGACGACATCTATGTTGGGGCGCGAGGTAGTGGGATCAGTCTCTCTCCAGCCTGACATGCAGCAAACTTCCAGGAATGACCTCGCAATGCTGTATTTGTGCAGCCGGGAACAGAGACTTAGCCACTGAGCAGAAGACCTCCTTCTGACTTAGTCTCCCCACTATGCATTGCAGCAAAACGGCCGTCATGTACTCAAGCGGCCCACGCCAATGCGTTTCCTGCACCGCAACTAAGCCCACTCGCCGTCCCTCAGTGGTGTCAGGTGTCAAGCCATGTGTTGAGCTCAAGGTTGCATTCAGTTGTGAGACTACCTGCGTTGCATGAAAGAAAGTGCACTCTATCATTTTGGCTGTCGTGGTCGCGGGTCACGCACCTCAACACCAAGTTGCTCAGCACTGTGAGCCTTCTGCCTCTGTACATGGCACTGCCCTGTTGTGATGCACGAGCACGGGCCCGGAGGAATGCTTTCTTTCGGCCGGGTTTGGGATGCCTAGAGTTGCAAGTAAAAACACCGTTATGGTTTGCTACGTTGAAGTCATGGTAGTGCGCATTACGTAGCGCTCCACAGGCGGTTTCTGGTGTGAATTGCCCCCAACCCTCGTGTCCACAGGAGTCGGCATGGCAGCTACACTGCACAGTTGTTGGCAAATGAGTGTCAGACTAAGGCCTCGCAGATTGAGGTGTTCCGGGCTCCTGCTCGAGGACTTGGGACCAGGACGGCCACATATCGGATGTTGGGCTGTGGGCTTGATTGACTGTGCGAAATTATAAAAACTCCGTAAGAAAGCTGTACAAGAAGGCCTCTCACTGCTGCAGCCGGGGCTCAAAAGAAGAGGCTTCGTTGGGCGTCCTCCAGGTCGACGAAGAAAGCGCGTCGGAAGCTGCTGGTAGGGCGAAGTCGATAGGGCTTGAGGTGTCTGCCATAGTCCATGCGTTTTCCGCGATGGCAGCTAGGCCGCAGGCCCCCTCGAGCTGGACGACCTCTCTTCAGTAGGCAGCATTCTCCGCGAGTAATCGGGTAATCCCGAAACCATTGTTGGAACTCCTGTCGTCCATCGTCGTCCAACAGCGGGAACAGGGCCAGCAGTGCCAGCAGGGTGGGAATGTAGAACAGGTCGGTCCAGGTCCCTGACGTAGTCCACCATGTAGCCAGCCATGTGGTCCGCACTTCTCTCGTCCATGTGCCGACATAGGCTCTTCCGGAGCATTCTGTCCATATGCAGCAGGCGCACGTGCTTCAGCGGATCCTGGAAGGATCCCACGTAGGCCAGCCAGGCCACGTTGTTCTCCGGAACCCCTCGGTTCCATAAATTGGCCAGGGCCTGGTAAGCTGCATCCAGGCGTGCCGCAGGCCCTTCATCCAGTTGCACGTATACATACGCGTATACATCTCCAGGATCTTGATTCCCGCGGCTGCGTCGCTGTGCAGCATATTTGGCAGTGGAAATTCGTCGATTCGGGTTGTACAGAACCAGGTGGCCCACCAGGAAGAAGAAACACAGTTCTCGGAGGGCCATGACGGCATTTCTTTCCAGAAAGGCCGGGTAGTCCGGGTAGTCGTCGGGCAGTTGGAGGCGACTTACACTACTTACACTACTTACACTACTTACACTACTTACACTACTTACACTACTTACACTACTTACTTCTTCTTCTTCTTCTTACTGCTACTACTACTACTACTACTACTACTAAGCGTCTCGGCTCGTATCTAGCGTGGGGCCCCTTGTGTGCTTCCTCGGTGGCGTTCTTCGGTCCTCTTTTGGGGTTCTGCTTGGGCTTCCTTGCTTTTGGGGGTCGGCTTCGGGACTTACGGCAGCCCCCGATGTCATGGACCTCTGTAGCTGGCACGGGGACAATAAGATCCCCAGAGCTGCCTATCAGGATGATGCCCTGCACAGGACCATTTTACAGGTCACCTTGGAACTCAAGCTCAGGCGCTGGAGGCAGATGGGGCTGCCTATGGGCAGCGTTATGGACTTGCTGCGGTTTTATGAGCGGGTTATGGCCGAGGAATCGTGGGACATGTGGAGGGTTTTCAACTCGACTGAACGTTCTGAAATGCTGCAGCGAGTTTCTCTGGAAAATTCCGGATTTTTCCCACAGTATGTTGGATAACTGGTACCGCCATTCAGTTTGTCACAACCTGGAGGACATGGACTAACAAGTCCGGACCCCTGCTGGTGAGCCCGAGGTTCTCGACTAAGGCTGATAACCGCTGTCGGCCACCTGAACCTAGCTCCAATTATTGTCCTATGAGAAACTGGAGGCCCTTGATTCTCCTCTTACTCCTTTGGACATCCTCCTCTTTGGCTCACAACGGCAACACCTTTTCTGGAGATGCCGTGCTGATGGCTACTCGAGAGGGCTCGCAGAAGCTAACGGCTGCGAGATTCGCACCCTCGCCGGAGGTTCTCCTCCGATCAGGCATCTCTGTGTGACTACTCCAAAAGCCTACAGGGTGAACGGAGTCAACGAGCAGCTCTGGTGCGCCCCTCAGATAACTTCCACCTCTAGGAATTGGATTTGGGATCCCACAGGTCTTTGTGGCACATCACCTCACCCAGGGTTACTACTGTCACTGGTCTCTCACAATCTTGGAGTTCCCCTCCGTGTGAACGTGCCAATCACATGCAGGCTTTATGCACTGCAGGTGTGCACCCTTACCAGAAGGACTGTGGAGGAGAACACGGACACCGTCGGAATCCAGCTTCGGTGTCAGATACCCAGTCTGTCTGTGCACCCATTGTCCTCAGCACACTGTGCCTGGAGCAGTAGTCTGCAGCTTTTCACTGACACGGTTGAACACTCAAGGCTCGATTTGGCGAATCATCTGCCAGGCTCTGCACTTTGCCCCGGCGCCCTCTTTGCCATGGCACCGAGAACACCTAAGGCCAAGGGCACAGCTGCGCGAGATCGCACCCGCAGCAGGGGTGCAGCCCAAACAACAGCCTCTGGTCCAAGCCCCAAAAGCAGCGGTGAAGACATGGGCATCCTCCGTTCCGGGAGGTTCGCAAAGGCTCATCCTGGAGGTCTGGCAAGCACGGCAGGGGAGGATGACCCGATCTCTTCCTCCTCAAGCAGCTCCTCAGAGGAAGAAGAATGGCGGCCACTGCCCAAGCGGAAGCAGAACAGCACCGCCGGCCGGACCGCCGCCCCCCCACGCTTGCAGTGGCCAATCCAGTGCACCGACCTGCGGAGCGACGAGCTGCCCACAGCATCCGATGCTACCGCCCATGCCTGGACCAGAACCTCACTCGCCTTGCGTCACAGGCTTTGGTGTCCCTATTTACCATGCAGGGTCTACCGTTGAATTTCGTCTCGAGGGAAGCTGGACGTTGCGCTTTACATCCACATCGGCAGGCTCCAGCATCACGAGCACACCGGTGCCTCCTCAGCCAGTACCTGCACTTGTCTCGGCAGCCACACCTACAGCTCCGACAACAGTGGTGGCGGCAGTGCCCCCGATGTTTGCGAAGGCACCTGGAGGCAACCGTGGCAGTCTACCCTCAGGGCTGCACCCGGCAGCCGGATCGCTCACGCATGTGCCGAGGCCGCCGCCAGCAGGCCCCACCAATTAGACGGCATAGATTTTGGAACGGTGGGGCCTCTTCCGCTGAGTTTGTGAAAGGTCATCCGGCCTTACAGCAGAAAACGATGGAATGCTTCAGCTGGTTGATTGAGTCCATTGCACATAGGGACCAACTGGGATACCCTCTCACCCATGCCTCTCAAGTGAGTGCTACACACTGCTCAGGTCAACCTCTTGGAAGGCCTACTCGGCCTCAGACTCGGCTTTGCAGTTCATTGTCATGTCTAGGATCTTGGGCTCCTCCAAGCCTGCCTCACCGCTTGCTTGCAAGTTCTTTGGGGTCTGGAGGTTTGCCTCCGCTGGCATCGTGAGTCCATATCCTGATTCCTCCTTCAGGTCATTTGGGTGGATGCCCCTCCCTCAGCATCAGCCGAATCATCTGCAGTGCTGCTGGACATCGATTACCCCTGCTATGCATCCAGCATTGTCCCAATCAGCCCCTGCAACTGACCCACAACGGAAGGTTATCCGTCCCTCCGTAGCTCTATTGACCATGGAGGTTTCCTCCGTTTCTGCTCCCTACTGAGGTGCCACCCGCGGTGTGCAGCAACCTCCGTCCCGCGAAGCCGACAGGACACTCTGCACCCGTGTGCAGACTGTGGCCAGTTGTGCTGCACTTGCATGTTTATAAACAACGTTCTCTGCTGCTGCAATTGCCACTTGTCAGCCGGGTCAGCGTAGTTTCCTTTCTATGTTGTGGCACACCCATGCCGCGAGAGAAGACTCTGCGCAAAAACCAGAGAGAAGCAAGGCGTTCTGATAAGAGGACAAGGCAACTGCTGCGACAGTGTGGTTCTAACCCACCTCTGACCCTCTTTACGGCGACCAGATCAAAGGCCTCAGGTTCCAGTACTGATCCCCCACCATCGGGTAAGGGCCATCAGGATGGGAAAGGCAACCCCGGCATGGCGAGTTACAGGGCAAGACACGCCCGCCGAGCCCACCATACTCTCCACCGCGTACCAGTTCGGGAAGATCACAACGAGCCGCAGGTGAAGGTGAACGTGGGCAGGGGGGTGTGATCCCCAGGGAGCCATCACACCCACCTCCCAACCGAATTCCAGAGCCGCGCACACCTCCGGACACGATGGATGTGATACCACAGACTCCACCTAGACGCAACTCGCCCCGACACCGACCACTCCGATTGCCAGTCCTACGAGTCCGGATGCATTCACAGACCCAAGGCAGGAGGGACGAGCTGAGATTCAAGTGTCCCCGGTCCCTGCATCGGTCCCTGCATCGTCCTCCTCGATACGGCCACGGGAGGTTCTGCCTCCGACTCCAAAGGTCAAGGCGAAGCCGAAGGACCTGCAGCGGGCCCCTCCTGTGGAGATCCTAGATGATGCCAGTGTGGAGGCCGTGGAGAAGGCCCGCCAATCCCGACCTGTAAAAGGCTCCGTGGGTAGGCAGCTGAAGCTGCTCGCCTTTAATGCCGTAAGCCACCTACAGAGAACATGACAGAACTGACGGAGGGACTGGACTCTGCAATCCCAATGGACTCGACAATCTCGACCAGCAACCGGAGACGCCATTGAACACTCCGCAGCCGATGCTTATTGACCTGGTGCCGGACAGTGAGGAGATCATCACTGTCGGGAAAATCTGCCGCAAGAGAAGGCCAAGGAGCTCTGCGGCTGAAGGTCCCACGGCGGAGGTGTGGGTTCTGGAGGGCCCGACCGACATGCCCATCCCTCAGGAACCTTGGATCCTGAACCTCCTGCAGCATCCACCGGCTCCGGCACCCCCATCGCCAAAACGTGCGCGTTCAGCCTCTACCTCTTCCACGGTGACCATCGACTATGAGCCCAAACGACCAGTCGGCTCTGCCATGACACATCGACCTCCGTCTCCGAAACGAGGTGCTGACTGCAGCAAGAAGCGCAGGCAAGTCTCTGGAGAGCCACCACATGCTGGACTGTCGGTGGGACCGAAAGTTGCTGTTCGGCCGAAGGCCAAGGCGGCACAGTCTAATGACTCGAGCTCTGACTCCTCGGACACGTGCTCTGCATCTACGATGGCATACATGAGCTCAGTTCTGCACTGTGTCCAAGTAGTTCAGTTGGTAGGGACGTGCTGGGTTCCGCGATGGTCGTCCATACACATGCTGCTACACAACTTTGTGCCTAGTCAGCTCTACACTCCATGCAGGACCAAGAGGCCCCCAGCCTCTTTCCGGCGACCAACGGCCCGGACTGGCCGGCTACCTCCGGCCTGTGACTCAAACCGCTGGAGTCACCATCGATCTATGAGCAACAGCATTCCTACTTGCTATCACATATCACATGACCATGGAAACAGGGATGCCCTCTGCAGTGCCATGCCCACTCCCCGTTGTGAAGCAACACTGATCCTCGCAGCCATGTCGGAATCGGTTAGGTTCCCGGGCACTCCTGTCGGGGAGTTCCGCAGCCGTACCCGTGCCTTCTGCGAGGAACAAAGACATGGAGCCACGGGTGGGGAGGGAGACAGAGTCCCGTCCACGGCACAAGCCAGTGGCAGCATGCCGAGCCCAGGCCCTAGCGCTGCACCGGAGCTCGATCTACTGGTTGGAAGTTGCTCTCCTTCTCAACCTCGACCTCGGCGAAATCTCATCAAGCAAGACCGAAAAGCACGGCCAACGCCGAGTATGGCACCGCATCTTGCTGGGAATGCGGTGAAGGAGCCCGCCAAAAGTGCTGACATGCCTGGCGCCACGACGGATACTCCAGTCGCACTACTGGCCTCCATTGGCGAACAAGCCTCAGTCTCCGCATCGGATGAAGAACCCGACTTTGGTTGGACAGGTGAAGACGAAGACTCTGACCCCAATACCAGTGTGCACCTCCCTTCACCAGCTGCAGGTGCATTCCACTCGCCGAGAAGCCGCAACTCTCGGGTTTGCGCCAAGATGCTGGTCAGAGCGGGGTTCCGCTGCCAATGGTGCTTCCGAAGGAAGCAAGAGTGCATATGCCATCATAAGGAGCAAAATTTCCGCTGCCCATGTTTTGAGCGATCGGTGATTCTTGCTTCGCAACTCGATAGAGCGACCATGCATCAGAGTGCTTCATCTTTGAGTGTCTGCGTAGCCTTCACCTCTCAGGTCTCTCAGATCTTGGAGGCGGCACACGCCTCCCTCGGTCGCTGCAGCAGTGGCCGGGAACACAGCAGTGCACAACAACAGGGATATGCAATCCTAGCGGAGGTTTTCTCTCCTGCTACCGACCCACTACATCAGATGCCCTCCCCCGCTTGGAATCAGTGCAGCCTGTATGTCGAAGTCTCGGCGCCCACAGAGAAACTACCGATGCATCTGGGCACCTCTGACGTCTCAGGTGTACACGGTCGGCTGCCCTCTGCTCATCCGGAGGCCCCGCCCTTGGATAGATGGTTCATTCCGACACGAAGACCCATTCCTGCGTACTCGAAGATAAGAAGCGGCCCCACCCCACCATGTCTTGGAGCATCCTCGGCCAAGCATTGCTGCAGCTGCTCAGTAGGAGCCGGTTCCTCCCAGATATCGTCTCTGATCTTCTGAATGCTCAAGGCTACTCGACATCGCTCACACATGCCCCACCACTTCCAGCCGGCTATAGTATGCCACGCCCTGGTGCCCATTGCAGGCACACAGTATCGAGCCGCCCGGGTCCCAAGTCCCGGGGTGGTATGCTGTTCACTGTCATGATGCTGCACCCTCTATGTGCATCTACAGCCACCACAGACGCGAGGGTTGCAGGGGCAGTCACCCTGCTGAAGCCTCAACCATCATATCTACAGCCCGCATCGCTGCAAAGGCGAAGCCTCGTGAAATGGCCACCAATGGCAACGCCCCAACCTCACCCAGTTTTTATCAGCAGCTAAGCAAAACTGGCAAAAGAGCCTTACATCGTGCCATAAGACGAGCCCAACTTCATGGTACGACGCGCTATAGAGGTCGCATCCACACACTCCACAATCCCTGGGAGCGAACACCACAAAAAAATCAGAACCCAGCCCACAACCCGCGGCTCGCCCCCGAACATCTCCAGCCGCCTCCCTAGACTCTCCCAGATGGCGGTTAGTGACCTGGAATGCAGGTGGGCTCTCCACCCCGAAACTGCTCGAGGTGCAGACCTGGCTGCGCCAGTGCAGGCACATGGGATCCCCGATTCACCTGTGTGTTATCCAGGAAACACATTGGTCCCTGAATTCGGAGTGGCAAACTGAGGACCACTTGATGATACATAGTGGCCAAAACGCTCGTCAAGCAGGCATCCTTGTCATGATCGACAAATCCTTAGCCAGCCCCGCTGCTGTACGATCCTGCTCGCACGTTCCGGGGCGATTGGTACAAATAAGGATTGACTGACACTGACCCCGCCATCATTGTGTTCGTCTACCAACATGTCTGGAGTGACAGGTCTGGAGAGGAATCACAAGTGCACCGCGAGCCTGTCTGGAGTGCCCTGCACTCAGCTGTACGTGGAACCCCCTGGCGAGCCCAACTGCTTGTGGCTGGGGACTTCAACACCCCAATTGTTCCGGCAAGCCCACTGGCTGGGCCTGGCATCCCTCCAGTCAACAACATCCGTCAGACCGACCAGCCCCGACTACAGTCATTACTTAGCTTCTTTAACCTCAATGTCCTTAACTCCTGGCAGCGACGCAGCATGCATACACCTATCGCTTCAACAGACAGGGCATGGTACAGCAGACACAAATCGACTTTGTACTTATGCGACGAGGCCAGGCGGACCCGGGAGCTCGGTGTACCCGTCCCCTTCAAGCCCCTTTTGTCTCCACCAAGGGTATGCACCATCTGCCTCTCATGGCCTCCCTTCCTCGACCGTCACGTCCCAAGTCGTCTGTAGAGACATCAGCCCCAACCACCGATGCTGCAACTGTCAACAACATCCTACGCACCCACCCATCAATTGCCGGACAGTTGCAAGATCAGGTTGGAGAACTTCTCAGACAGCGAGCACAAGGTCCAGGTCACGAAACTCAGACAGCATCGGACCCAGCGGTCGAAGTTAATCGAATCCTTCTCTCTGCCTGGTCCACTGTCACCGCCAACTTGCCCCGAGCTCCTCGGAGACGAAGCACCGAACCACGCTCCCTTGGCGGCCTGGTCAGGCAGCTGTGGCGGCTACGCCGTCTTTGCAACGGCCATACCCCGGCTACGTTCTCCTACCTTCGAGGATGGAGAAGGGCGGTGCAGCTTGCTAGAATTCAAAGACAACTCCACAAGATCTGCCGAGATAAGAAGCGTGCACGTATTGAGGACATACTTCAAGAAGCAAGCACCTCTCCACATCTCTCAGCAATCTATGGAGCAGTTCGTAAACTGGCCCCGAAATCCAGGAATCAAAGATTCCAGCTTCGTGACGACAACGGCATCCTGCTCTCCCCTCCGCAAGAATCGGAGGTTATTGCCACCTACTTTAGGAGTGTCTATGGCAGCCCCAACCAACTCACTGCCCCACCCCCTCAGCCCATCACTGGCATTACTATCACATTCCAGGAACTCGTCACCTCACTTCGGCGTCTTCAACAGAACAAGGCCCTCCCGCGGGGCTTTGCACCAGCCAGGTTGTGGAAGGATTTAGCTGAACACATTGCCCCCCTCCTTCTTCCAGCCATGAACCTGTGCCATGCAACCCTACATCCGGACTGGCATGCTGTTCAGGTCTGCGCTCTACCCAAGACCCAAATAGTGCGCCTCCCAAAGCACGTTCGTCCAATCTCTCTACTGCACCCATGCAACAAGGTATTGGCCTCCCTGCTGGCAGAACGAGTCCTGCCGAAGGTCTCTGCGTTTCTTGATACCATCCCCCAATGGGCTTATCTTCCTGGAAGGTCTGCCGCGGATGCACTGGAAGCGGTCTGCTCACATCTGTTTGCTGCCAGAACCCTTGTCCAAGCAAGCTCTACCTCCATCCTGCAACGCTTTCGAGGTGCCACACCAGTCAAACTGGTGGGTGGCATCTCCATAAGCCTTGATATCCACAAAGCTTTCGACAGTTTAAGACATCCTTTCCTGCTGGAGGCAATGCAGCAAGCTGGTTTCGAGCCGCAGGAGATTGACCTCATTCTTCATTTGCGTGAGCAGGCAGACATGCAGTTTGGCAGCCCCCCACATATTGCACATGCATTCCTCGCTTCCGGGATCAGGCAAGGTTGTAGCCTGTCGCCCTTGCTATGGTCTCTCTCGACAGGACTCATATACAAGCAATATGCCGCAGAGCTGGAGGCCCATCGGCTTAAAATAGGCACCTCCTCACTGTACGTCTTCTCTTCCTGGCTCTTCAAAGACCAGGATGCTTTGAAGCGAGCGGTGCGGGCCATGGGGTTTCTGATACATGTATTGCGCGGGGCCGGGCTGCAACTTAGTGTTGACAAAACGGTCATCATGCTCACTGCGACAGGAACCAGTGTTCAGTCAGCATTGTCGCGATACCGTCACGAGATCGAGGGAGTACCCCACTTCAAGGTCATGGTTGGACAAACCCCAGTCAGTTTCAAGCTGGTACAGGAACATACGTATCTCGGATCCAAGCTCTCGTATCACGGTTTCGAATTGCTCAACTTGAGACATCGACTTGGGATCGCTTGGGGCTCCTTCTGGCGACTGTATCAGATCCTTCGCAGTAGGTCGCTCAGCTTGCCACTGAAGCTCAGGGTCTGGAACCTATGCGTGTTCAGTGTGCTGCGCTACTCCCTGTGCCAGGTAGGGATGCCCGCCAATGGTCCGCTGTTGCTCAGGCAAGCTGTGCACAGGCAGATTCGTCTCATAGCTAAGTCACCAGCTCACATATGGCATGAGTCATCAGAGGCACTGCTTCGCCGACTGTCCATCACTGATCCATGGGACACACTGTGTGCTCAGTTTGCAAGCAAAACAGTACGGCCTAATCTACTCCTGACTCAGCCTGGTGTCACGATGTGGATTGCAGAACTCAGCAACACCTTTATCCAAGCACCTGCTCCACAACATCACCCACCCCCCTTTCCATGACACCGCCACTTCTCTCAGGCCCGGAAACCAGAGCTGATCCGGGGGCAGGCCAGTCTTCACCAGTGCAGATTGAACAGAGTGCACACTCATATAGAAACCTGGTCTGCTGCTTTTGTCAGCGGTCCTTCAGCTCACTTGCAGCCCTTCGTATGCACATAGCCTCTCAACATCAGGAAGCACCACCTGCATCTTCAACTCCACAGGCGCCCATCGCGATGTGGTAAGACCAGCCTCCTCTGACACCCACCCGATGAGCCTGCGAAGGGATGTCACAGCTCACACGGAGGATGCCTCCATGTGCATACCTGTCCTTGCAGAAATGCAGGAGGCAGATCCGCAGACACGTTTTGCCTGGCTGCATTCGGTAAAAGGTCTTTGCCAGTGTCGTCACTGTGGAAGAGAATGCTTTAGCTGGGATGACCTGAAGGTGCATATCTTCACCAAGTCATGTCCCGCTCTTTACCCGGACTCTTTCACCTGTCACTTGTCACTGCTCACGCCCGCTAATAGCATCCCATTGTTCTGGCAACTTCGTCACCAGACACAATCGCCGTGGGGATGGGAGCGCATACATCAAACAAAGTGCTGGGGCTAACCTACAGGAACAAATCCAGCGATGCCCCTTGTGTGATCAGTGGCTCATACAATCTCGTGGACTTGGACATCATCTGCAGGCTTTTCATGCGCCAGCGTTTAAGGCTCTGCAGACCGCCAGAACTCAGGCGAAGGAGGCTCGGAAATCCCTGGCCATTGGAGCCACTTGCCGTTACTGCCGTTGCAAGTTCACAGGACATCCAACTAAGCATGCATCGGAGTGCCCGGCTATTATCCTGTCTCGACTGCTTGCGATTCTCCTAAAGCCGAACTGCGAGCTCTCACCCTCCTCTCCCAATGATGCCGATTGCAATCACTTCCCATCCTCGTGCAGCCATTTTCAGGACCATGGACTTGGAACCGATCTCGCACGAGGAGTTGATGGAAGCCGCAGCGGATCTACAGGCCTTGCAGACTGCAGCTCTGATGGGTCAAAGCTTTGGCCGCAGAAAGATGGCGGAACTGCAGACCGACAATCAGCAGTCGAGGAGCCCGCTGCGCGAAGGCGCCCAAGCACTCAGAGCGAGAGAGAGTCTGCACCCAGAAGTTTGGTTCCCTTACGGACACAGAGACACCCACGAAGTACAACCGCCCAGACCACAAGGGTCAGCAGCGAGGAGGGAAGGGTCGCAACCAGGATGGGCAGATGACCAATCGCAGAGCACAGCCCTCCACCCCGGAGCCCACGCGGAGGTTCGAGCCAGGTCCCCGAAGCAACAATCCCTCTGGCTCTACTCGACGACTCGATCGCGATCAGGAGCAGGAATTGCTTCAGCAAATGGCTACCGTGGTGCTCCGCCACGAGGACCAGCTCTCGATCTTGAAGCAGAGCACAGGAATGGTTGCATTCCTGGGAACCGCGCCCCCGCTTACGGTGATTCCTCTGCTGCAGCAGGTGGGGGATCAATGGCGCACCACCAAGGAATCGGACCCCACGGCACTCAAGCACCCCATCAGGCTGGTGTTGTTCCAAGCCTTCACCATGGAAACCCCATCCAGGATTCAGAAGTTGGACACGTGCCCCGACTCCCACAGGGATGCCCTCCGTCTCTCCATCATCACAGAGACCGGCAGGTTCCCCTATCAGGCATGGAATCGCCAAACCAGGGCGTCGGAGACTGTGGACACGCAGCAGCCGCTCGAGGCCAAGGAGATCCTTCACATGCTCGACGAGCTCATGATCCTCTCGGTTCAGGATGGAGTTCTCCCGAGATTCCACCCGACCAGAGACTTGGCTCCTCGGATGGAGGGGCCGACGGTGACATGGATGATCGAGCTGGGACTCCGCAACCCCAAAGCTTACAGAACCTGGGAGCTGCTAGAGCGCCTCTCGGGCAACTCGGTGCTTCGGTTGGTGGCAGCGTCGCTGCGACGGGAGCGGCTGGGCCGCTCAGCAGCGGCTAAGCGGATGGCCCAACTGCGAAGGCAGGGCACTCAGCTGAACGTTCCTTTCACCACCCAGACTGTCAGGCTCTCCGGTTGTCCCTCCGCCAGCTGCGACTTGCCAATCGTGCAAACGAATGCTATGCTAATGCAGTGATCCTTGCAGCCATATGGACGAGCAGTTTTCGTGTCACACTGGAGGTAGGCCCCCGCGCGACACTGGCACGGGACCTCAACAAGGTGTTTCAGGCCCCTCAGAAAGTGCATCACCTTTGGAGTTACCAAGCCTGGGCTAGACTGTTTGGTCAGTGGCCACACGATGGCAGACAGCATGACGCAGCAGACTTCCTTAGTTTCCTTCACCAGCACACTGTACTTCCGAGCTTCAATGGGCAGTGGCTCATCATGGAAGATGGTAGATTGGTTGACTCTGGAAAACTGTGTCCGCTTGCTCTCCTAGGGGATCTGGAAGACATTAAGAATACTCATGGGGGTTGTAAATTGCAAGATGTGGTCAACACATGGCATGCACAGCCAGGTGCACCGGCCATCGCATCTGATGCAAGCTGCATTGTGCTGCAGCTGAACAGGTTCCGACCCCATGGTCATTCAGTGCACAAGTCGAAGTGCCCAGTTGCTCTTCCAGTACGCCTTAACCTCCCCTGCTGGGTCGAAGGTTCTGTGCGCTTCCTCCCCTTTCTTGTGAGAGCAGCCGTCGTACACCTAGGAGACTCCACCAGAGTGGGTCACTACCGCAGTGTTATTTTTGAGCCAAGTGGGCGATGCTGGTATGCTGATGATCATGTTAGGGCCACTGTTCCCAGCCTTTCTGATGCCAAGGTCTTTCGTGAGAATGCTTATCTGATCTTTCTTACACCGGCATCGCCAACTGCAGTTTTGTCGTAGCTGCTGAACCTGTCTGACACAACAGTTAAGGTGCAGTGCGCTAAAGGCCCTTCGGGGCGGCTGCTCCTTTTGAGGTTGGGGGAGAGATCGAAGACCGATCACTGCGGCAATGCCGCCGTACACCTGTACGCCCTAGACGCTTAGCGAACTTACCTTCGCTGCGCGGTGAAGTGAAGAAGTGAAGTACTACTACCAAGAGTTTCTAGTTAGCCTCAGGGGTGGCCACCCGTGATAATTTCCAGATAGGGTTCCAATACGTTTTGGATACGATCTGAGGATAGGATCGGTCTATCGGGCTGTGGCATCGATACGGTTCAGATAGAGGAACCGATAGGGTTTGGATGCGTTTTGGATAGGGGTTCTAGTACGAGTTCCAATAGAGGTTCCCATACGTGTCCTAATAGCGGGTTGAATAGGGGTTTGAATAGGGGTTTGGATACGATTTGGATACGATTCCCCTCCCGCCGGGGGGGGCCCCTTGTCTCAGAGCTCCGGAAACCGATTTTGGGCTCCTTTCGAAGGAAAAGTGGGGGTTTGAATAGGGGTTTGAAAGGGGTTTGGATAGGGGCTGGGATAGGGGTCTGGATACGATTTGGATACGATGTCCCTCCTGCCTGGGAGGCCTCTTGTCTCAGAGCTCCGGAAGCCGAATTTGGGCTGCTTTCGAAGGGAAAATAGGGGTTGGAATAGGGGTTTGAACAGGGGTTTGGATAGGGGTTTGGATACGATTTGGATACGATGTCCCTCCTGCCTGGGGGCGCCCCTGTCTCAGAACTCCGGAAGCCGATTTGGGCCCGATTTTGGGCTCCTTTCCAAGGAAAAATAAGGATTTGAATAGGGGTTTGAATAGGGGTTTGGATAGGGGTTTGGATGGGTTTGGATACGATTTGGATACGATGTCCCTCCTGCCTGGGAGGCCCCTTGTCTCAGAGCTCCGGAAGCCGAATTTGGGCTCCTTTCTAACGAAAAATAAAGGTTTGAATAGGGATTTGGATGGGGGTTTGGATGGGTTTGGATACGATTTGGATACGGTCCCTCTTGCCTGGGAGGCCCCTTGTCTCAGAGCTCCGGAAGCCGAATTTGGGCTCCTTTTTAAAGAAAAATAGGGGTTTGAATAGGGGTTTGGATAAGGGTTTGGATACGATTTGGATACGATTCCCCTCCCGTCTGCGGGGCCCTTGTCTCAATTTTGGGCTCTTCTCCAAGGAAAAAAAGGGGTTTGAATAGGGGTTTGGATAGGGGTTTGGATACGATTTTATCCGGCCCGTTTCAGAACTCCGGAAACCAATTATTTTGGGCTCCTTTCCAAGGAAAATAGGGGTTTGTCTAGGGGTTTGGATAGGGGTTTGGAGACGATTTGGACACGATTCCCTCCTGCCTGGGGGGCCCCTGTCCCAGAGCTCCGGAAGCCGATTTTGGGCTCCTTTCCAAGGAAAAATATGGGTTGAATAGGGGTTTGGATAGGGGTTTGGATACGATTTGGATACGATTCCCTTCCCGCCTGGGGGGGCCCCTTGTCTCAGAGCTCCGGAAGCCGATTTTGGGCTCCTCTCCAACGAAAAATAGGGGTTTGAATAGGGGTTTGGATAGGGGTTTGGATACGATTTGGATACGTCGTGATGGAAACCGTATTCGAAACCATATTGGAGCCCGTATTGAAATCGTATTGAATTCGTATTGCTTCTGGACGAGAGCGTATCGCCTCTCGTATCGAAATCGTATCCGAATCGTATCAGAACCGTATCTCCCGAAATGCGGATTACGGCAATCCTATCACTGAATCGTATCGGTACCCCTATCCAAACCCTAAACCAAAAGTAATCCTCGATCGGGCCCTGAGGCTGAACTAGAAACTCTCGGTACTACTACTACTACTGCTGCTGCTGCTGCTACTACTACTACTACTACTACTACTGCTTGAACCTGAAGCCCTCTCCATGTATAGTCAGTGTAGGCGTGGAGCGCTTGCACGAAGCAGGACCTTGTGTCAAGGATT